TGTGCCGTGCTGTGTGTGCCGTGTGACGTGCTGTGTGTGCCGTGTGTCGTGTATGCGCCGTGCGTGGGTGAGCGCGCACAGTGCTGGCCTCCGATTAGCACGGTTGGCTGCGTAAGTTGTGAAGGAAGTTCATCGTACGCACACGGCCACCCACCCCCTCGTATTCATAGGCGCTGCTTCTCGCTAACAGAACTTGCCCCAACAGTCTGTTAAGGCTACGTGGGCAGTCTGTGTCTTTGTTCCTTATGAGGAGCGTGCGGTGCAGTGGTTAGCGCGCTGCGCTACGAACCCGGCGATCCGATGAATTATTGATTCCCGCTCACGGCCACCCACACAAGTGACGATTGTGTGTACCCTTTCTGGGCCTCCCCTGGACCGACATCGTTCTTATTGCAATTGTTATGATATTATAACCGTAAGAATGTTGGAAATGTTGAAAGGCATGTTGGCAATGGTGTACGTTCCGCGAGAGTTGAGTCTCGTGAACACGCGGCGTCGTGCGGGAAGTAACCTGCAGCGAAACGTCAGACAAAAATGTAAACATTATTTTTAATCATTCCTTCCTGTTTGCTGATAAACCAAATCGTTCGGGGCGTTTTTGCCCACTTGACAACCTGATTTCATTCGACGTTTTTCGCGTGGTTGCGGAGGGTAATATATATATTTTAAATAAAACGATATCACAACCTCCACTATGTGACCCAGAATTAACTTAATTCTGAAGGAGGCTGAGTACGCGATTAAATCAACTGCCCCGCCCCGACCACCCCGTTCCACTGCGCGTGAGCAATGGGGCGGCTAGCAGAGGGGAGTGGGGGGAGCCCCGTCCACAGACAGCCATCGGAGGTGGCATCTCAGGTCAGTCGAGAAGCTGTTATCGTTCTAGTGGCTGCATAACGCAGAGTTCGAGGTCATACTGATCCCCCCCACTCTCGCCTGCTCCCCCCACCTCGCCTACACCACCTCCCTCCCCCTCGCCTGCTCTCCACCCCCCCTCATCTCCCCCCCACCTCGCCTGCCCCCCCCGCCTGCCCCCCCCCGCCTGCCCCCCCCTCTCCCCTCCCCTGTGCAGGTGGAGCTGACGGCGTTGCTGGAGCGGCTGGCCCAGAGGGAGCGGACCCTGAGCGCCGTCTCCACGCAGCTGAGCGACTCTTCGCGAGCGATGCAGGTACCGCTGTGAGGCCACGGGGGGAAGGAGGGAGGCACTGGGGGGGGGGGGCACTGGGGGGGCACTGGGGGGCACTGGGGGGGCACTGGGGGGGTATTAGGTGGGGGGCTCAAGCAGCTCAAGGGAGTTGCCAGGCGGGGTGGTAGTGTCGCACCGTGGCCTGCAAGCCCGTTCTGTGGAGGTGGTTTCTGTGGTTCGGTGGTTGTGAAACTCCTTTGGGGTCGTCCATAAATGACGTCACGCACCTGGGGGGGGGGGTCAGCCATTTGTGACGATGTGTGACGACGGGGGGGGGTGAGAAATGTGACGTCACATCAAAATGCGCAACTTTAAATAAATATAGACAACACGTTCTACTTAATTAAATATACTTTTTAATCAATTCTAGATTTGAAGTTTTTAAATAAATGTTTTCTCCTACAACATCAGAGTACAGGGCCACATTAAATACGTACTACAGTGACAATAGTTTAAAGCGATTTGAAGCATGTTTTATTTTTTTTGGGGGGGGGCAGAGCTTTGTGACGTCATATTTTAGGGGGGGGTCTGACTTTTTATGACGTCGTGTGACGGAGGAGAGGGGTGGGGGTCAAAAATCCTCTAAAATCGCGTGACGTCATTTATGGACGGCCCCTTTCCCGTTCTTGGCCGTCGAAGACGAGGAGGCATTTCGTGCTAGTGCAGGAGAAGGCGATTTTACTGTTTGTCGCGTGTGAATGTTGAACTTCTTTCGCACCGCACGTGGCCAACCCCGGCCAATCGGAGGTGCGGGTGAAGGACAACAAACCGGGCACACAAAACGCACTTCGAATGAAACGTTGGAACTTCTTTCGCGCCGCACGCAACCTCCGATTGGGCGCGGTTGTGCTACGTGCGGTGCGAAATTAGTTCAACGTGCACGCCTTGAACCTGGGTCACACGTGTCCCTGTCACGTGCTCCCAGGCACGAGAAAACCCCGGGTGTCGTAATCGTAACAATAAGTGCTCGCTTCTTGTGATATTGGCGCCCTGCGTTTAGTTCGGGAAACGTCCCAGAGAGAGCAGTGGAGGGTTTACTCAGCCTAGGGGGACCCCTAGTGGCAGCTTGAGAGCCTGTGCGGCGAGGCCGTCATCTCCATATATATAAAGGCAAAGTTGTGATTGTGTGTCTGTTCAAAATGTTTAGCGTACTTCCCGACATGCAACAAACTTGAAATTTGCCATGTGGGTACTTTCCAGACTGTACACCATGCAAAAATTATAAAAATAGACTTTTGTGTTTTTTTGGTGGGGGGTAGGGGGAGCTCAATAATGCATTTATTTTTTGCACGGCAAGTGAGCTGTCACGTCAAATCTGTCACGTGACCCGCGCACGTGGAAGCGTAACGCATTGTAGTGTATTGGTTAGCGCGCTGCGCTATAAACCCGGCGACCCGAGTTCGATTCCCGCTCACGGCCACCACCGGTGACGATTATTTTAACCGGTCCTGGGCCTCCCCTAGGTCGACTCAGCCTCAAACGAGTAACTGCTGTGGTGTGTGAACATCGCCACTGGGGAGACAAAGGCGGCCGGGCGTGGTGAATCTTTTTTGCCAGTTTCTAAGCATAAAAAAATACCATGAGAATGGGTTTTACCCTTTCTGGCAATTAAAGAGGAGGCGCCTTTAGCGAGGCATAGAGTCTGCGTTAACCACCCGTACTTGTGGCAAAACGTGCAAGCCAACATGCCTCGATAGTATGTGTACTGTTGTCTGGGCAAACACTGGTGAGACTCACGGAGAAGGCTCTCTCTGGTTGTTGTTGTAACGTTCTGACCCCGTGCCCCGTTACTGGAAATCTGTGGAAATGAGCTTCATGGCTCATCGGATTCCTCCTCGTGGTTTAAATATTGTACAGTATTGTGAAACAAGAAATATTTAGATGTTGTGCCCTCCTCCCCCTGTGCTCCACCCCCCCCCCTAACCAACCCCCTCAAACCAACCTCCCCACCCAACCCCGCCCCTCCCCACCCAACCCCGCCCCTCCAACACCAAACCCCGCCCCTCCACCACCAAACCCCGCCCCCTCACCCAACCCCGCCCCTCCATCACCAAACCCCGCCCCCTCACCCAACCCCCGCCCCTCCACCACCAAACTCCGCCCCCTCACCCAACCCCGCCCCTCCACCACCCAACCCAACCCCGCCCCTCCACCACCCAACCCAATCCCGCCCCTCCACCACCCAACCCCGCCCCCTTACCCAACCCCGCCCCTCCACCACCCAACCCCGCCCCCTCACCCAACCCCGCCCCTTCCACCACCAAACCCCCCCCCAATCCCTTCTACCCAACCCCGCCCCTCCCCCACCCAACCCCGCCCCGCCCCCACCTGCAGGACCGCGTGCTCGAAGCGCGCGGCGCGGCCGCCCAGAGCGCCGAGTCCGCGCGCCGCGCGCTGGACGCCGAGGAGCGAGCGGCGCTCGCGCTCGCGGCGCGGGCCGAGGCGCTCGCGCTCGCGCGCAACGCGGAGCGGGCGGCGCGCGCCCAGCGCCGCCTGCAGCGCGCGCGGCGCGCGGCCGCAGCGGCGCACGCGACGCTCGCGCTCGGCAGCGACATCGCCACGCTCAAGGTGGGGGGTGGGGTGGGAGGCGGTGGTGGGGTCGGGTGTGGTGGGCGGGGGCTAGGAGAGGGGTGGGGGGTAGGTAGAAGGTGGTTGTCGTTTAACGCGTTAGAAGGGCGCTCGTTCCGCTTTATAAGGGGCGCTCGTTTAATGCGTTATAAGGGGCGCTCGCTCCACGTTATAAGGGGCGCTCGTTCCACGTTATAAGGGGCGCTCGTTCCACGTTATAAGGGGCGCTCGCTCCACGTTATAAGGGGCGCTCGTTCCACGTTATAAGGGGCGCTCGTTCCACGTTATAAGGGGCGCTCGTTCCGCGTTATAAGGGGCGCTCGTTTAACGCATTATAAGGGCACTCGTTCCGCGTTATAAGGGGCGCTCGTTTAATGCGTTATAAGGGGCGCTCGTTCCACATTATAAGGGGCGCTCGTTCCGCGTTATAAGGGGCGCTCGTTCCACGTTATAAGGGGCACTCGTTCCACGTTATAAGGGGCGCTCGTTCCACGTTATAAGGGGCGCTCGTTCCACGTTATAAGGGGCGCTCGTTTCGCGTTATAAGGGGCGCTCGTTCCACGTTATAAGGGGCGCTCGTTCCACGTTATAAGGGGCGCTCGTTCCACGTTATAAGGGGCGCTCGTTCCACGTTATAAGGGGCGCTCGTTTCGCGTTATAAGGGGCGCTCGTTCCACGTTATAAGGGGCGCTCGTTCCGCGTTATAAGGGGCGCTCGTTCCACGTTATAAGGGGCGCTCGTTTCACGTTATAAGGGGCGCTCGTTCCACGTTATAAGGGGCGCTCGTTCCACGTTATAAGGGGCGCTCGTTCCACGTTATAAGGGGCGCTCGCTCCACGTTATGAGGGGCGCTCGTTCCACGTTATAAGGGGCGCTCGTTCCGCGTTATAAGGGGCGCTCGTTCCACGTTATAAGGGGCGCTCGTTCCACGTTATGAGGGGCGCTCGTTCCACGTTATAAGGGGCGCTCGTTCCGCGTTATAAGGGGCGCTCGTTCCACGTTATAAGGGGCGCTCGTTCCGCGTTATAAGGGGCGCTCGTTCCGCGTTATAAGGGGCGCTCGTTTCGCGTTATAAGGGGCGCTCGTTTCGCGTTATAAGGGGCGCTCGTTCCACGTTATAAGGGGCGCTCGTTCCACGTTATAAGGGGCGCTCGTTCCGCGTTATAAGGGGCGCTCGTTCCACGTTATAAGGGGCGCTCGTTCCGCGTTATAAGGGGCGCTCGTTCCGCGTTATAAGGGGCGCTCGTTCCACGTTATAAGGGGCGCTCGTTTCGCGTTATAAGGGGCGCTCGTTTCGCGTTATAAGGGGCGCTCGTTCCACGTTATAAGGGGCGCTCGTTTAACGCGTTATAATGGCGAGCTTGTTCTGTGTTGTGCGAAAAGTGTTCCCTCGTGGAAGAACCGCGTCATAGCAAAAACGCGTTATAACACTGTCATGCGTTAAGCGAGGTCTGACCGAAGAGTACAACACTCGGGTGTGTTCCAGCACACACAGAGCTGTGTTTAGAGGGGAGTGTGGTGGAATGTGAGACGCAGCGTTACTAATCCCTCTGCGTTGTTGTTCCACAGGCGGCCGCCGTCATTCACAAGAGGTGAATACCCCCCCCCCACGCACCCCCCCCCCCACACGCACCTCCCCCCACACGCACACGAGGCAAAGACCCCCCCCCCCCCCCCCCGTATATTGGGGCAAGTGCTGTTGGCGAGTGACCTGTTAAGATCGCCTTAGTCTCCCCCGTGCCGCTTGCTGACAAACTGCACCAGACAAGATCCCCCGTGTAGCCTGTGACAGACTGTCGGGGCAGGCGCTGCTGTTAGCGAGTAGCGCCCAACCGCCTTTGTCTCCCCAGTGGCGATGTTTACACCGCGCCAGGTACTCATTTGAGGCTGAGTCGACCCAAGTGAGGCCCAGGACCGGTACAGACAGTCGTCACTGGTGTTGGCCGTGAGCGGGATTCGAAATCGGTTAGCCGGGTTTGTAGCGCAGTGCGCTAATCACTGCGCCGCCGCTCTGGTTTCACACACACACACACAGACCCACAGTACCTGCACACATACCCATGGACACACATTCCCAGGAGGTTACTGAAATTTCGCTACGATTGCATCCACTGCCCGAAAACCATGGCAGCAGCAGATGGAACATTAAAAACTCACTCCAGCAGTGTGCAACTGCGGTCATCCAGAACAACGTGTAACGAAGCAATGGCCCGATCCACAAATATGAAGGAGACGTCACAGTGATAATGACGATGCACGACTCCGCTATTGCCCCTATCGGCGCGGGTTATCTGCGCTTGACCTCCTGAATGTGAAATTGTGGTCACCCTCTCTGCATCAGCCGTATGAAAGAAAGAGACTTCCCCTGTCACCACTCCAATTCCTATCGCTACCTCAGAACAAACCATACAACGTAGAACCACGCAAGGCACCGATCCACAAATACGCAGAAGGAGACATCACAGCGATGCGCCACTGCGCTACTCCTGACACGGTTGTCTGGGCTTGACCACCTCAATATGAAGTTGTCGTCGTTGTCTCTGCATCTACATCAGCAGCCGTACGAGAGACCATGTCCATTCCTTCACCCTGAGAATGTGTGTACGTGTGTGTGGACAACAACGTCTGTCATTCGCCGTGGCACTTGTGGCAGGCTAGGTGCGCTTTTCGTGAAGGCTCGCTGGCAGGTCACGAGACAGATCCAGGTGCCATGCGTTGACTGAGATGACTGCTAGATGCACCACCTGTGCTCCCCACTGTGCCAGCTTGCTACATTTTATCCACCCGGCGCTCGACTGGTTGTTGTGAGTGTCGCTCATCTGCCCTCTGCTGCCCAGTAGCTGCCTTCAGGAGCCTCCTTCATAGGAGCCGATCTTGACACCACTGGTACCAGTCTTCTGCAAGTCCACTCAGCTCCACATCCTCCTGTACCGCATTGGTCCATCTGCCACACCCGTTGAGCCCCCTCTGTCCGGCCATACAGAAGCTGCTGGGGATGCGGTGGCTGGGCATATGAGGGCTACATGACCCAGCCAATGCAGCCTTGCTTGAGGAGTTTACCGATGGGACTGTGCCCAGATTGTTTAAGGATCTGTGAGCTGCTCACACAATCCAGCCTGCTGGTTAAACGTATGATGGACTGTAGGCAGGCCAGCCTGAAAGTTTCTAACCGGCGCAGATGTTCCATTCGAGGAGTCCACGTTTTGCAATCATAGAGAAGGGAGGGCATCGCTGTGGCCTAGCCGCCACGAAGCTTCAAGTGGAGCGACAGACCAAGGTAGCTTCCGCACAGCATTATGCAGCTGATGAAAAGAATGCTGCTCAAATGATTCAAAATGAGATTCTGTGCCAGTTATTGCCTGGAGGTTGTTAATGGCCAAGAGGCAAAAAAACCCATCGTAGCTTACATCTGGAAACAGTGGCAGTAGCTTCTGTGGACGTTTTTTTTTTTTAAATTGCAGCCTTGCAACGATGTACAACAGTGTCACTGGTTGTTGTGTGTAACATAAAATGTATGAGGAAGTTGAAATCATCATGATTGAAACACATCGGGGTGCCAAACGGCCAAAGCCGCAAAAGCCGATGCGGCGACATTTCCCCATAGAATTACGGCACGAGGCGCCTCCACACCGACTCTTCCCCTCTCAAGCATCTCCCTCTCACCCTCTCTTAGCCCCTCTCCTTCCTCTCCCTCCTCTCCCCCTCTCACCCCTCTCCTCATGTCCCCCCCCCCCCCCCCCCGTGCTCAGTCTGCTGGGAGCTGCGGCTCCCGACGCGGCAGTGGGGGGCCCCGGTGCGGGAACGGCGGCCGGGGCGGGGAATGAGGATGATGAGGAAGAGGAGGAGGAGGGGGGTTGTTGCAGCGACTCGGAGGAGCACTTCGAGAGCGAGCTGAGGACGGGCGCGGCGCGGGCCAGGCTGCTCGACTCGCTGCTCGCGCACGCCCAGCGCGTCCTCGCCGTGTTCGACGTGCGGATGCTGCGTCGTTGTGAGTCCCGACGCATCATCGTCATCGTCGTCTTCAACTCCCCCGGTGGATGTGCTGTGGTGTTCCGTTTGGTGCCTCTGCCCGAGTCCTGGATGGATTGTGAACACGTCCGGAACTCGGCTGCCGGAATCCTGTTAGTTCGGTCCTCAAACTAAATTGTTTAAAAAGTAGACACCTTAACATTAATCTGGCTTTGTTCAACATTTTGGTTTTAAACTATTTTTGTATCTTGCCAGATAAGTCTCACTGAGCTGTAGAGCTATTTCAGAAGCGACCTGGCCACGGATGATAGCTCGGTGAAGCGGCTTATCAATGTGTGGAAATTTAAAGCAGCCAAATACAATCTAGATTTCAAGTTTTCGTGACTGCAGGGATCCATACTCTTTGGTTCTTTCGGTAAGGTCACGTGGGTATAAAATAAAATAAATCATGACGTTTCGATTGCAACACAATCCAATCATCATCAGGTGGGAAAACCACAGCAAGAAAATGTTTTGCTGAAGTGGGAGAGAGAGTTGCCGTGGTAAGAGGTTATACAGCCAAATACTCTAAACGCACGTTGTCGATTCTGAATGTGGATGGGAAAACCAGAGGACTCGGAGAAGAGTCCACGTGACCACAGGGAGAGCGAGAGAGAGCGAGAGAGAGATGCAAGCTACAAATATACAGCAGGCCTCTGGGTCAGGATCGAACCCATGACCTCCTGTATACCAGGCGAGGTAGTTAACATCTCCCTGCCACCGTGGTCCTGGCCCTCTCTTCGCTGGCGAATTCCTACGATGTGCAGCCGCTCTCAAACGTGGACAACCAAAACGATCTCGTAGGTTTACCCCCTCCCCCCCCACTCCTCTTGATACGCTTGGCCATCATGAGGGCTTCCTTCTTCGCAATGATCGGTGCCCCTCTGTGCGTTCCGTGCACACGGCTCCTGCACACACACCGAGTGCCCCGTGCCTTCTGCTGTGAAGCTCCCCTCCACGGGTGTGGAGGAGCGCCTTGCCCCAATGTTCTTCACTCGTATATGGAACGTTTAAATTATGTATGTACGTGTGTATGTTGAGCACCGCACGTAGCCAGCCGTGCTAATCGGAGGTGCGGGGGAAGGACAACAAACTAAACACAGCAACGAGCAGTTCTAAAGAAATTAGTTTTCTTTTATAAATCTAACAACCAAATCAGGCTTCGGCAGGATTTAGCTTGGGATGCCTGCGGACGTCCGGTTCAAGGAGGTTGTGCAAACTTCACGACATCGCCACCAAGCTGTCCCTCACCATTCCATCCCCCTCTTGCTGCTCCCCCCCCTCCCCCCCCGTCATTGTCCCCTTCGCCCGACCCCACAGACGGCTGCCCCCTGACCTTCGACTCAAACACCGCCCACCCGCGGCTGCTCGTGTCGCCGGACGGCCGCTGCGTGTCCCAGCGCGGGCGCCGCGACGCCACCTCGCCCCAACCCTCGGCCTTCGACGTGTGGCCCCAGCTGCTGAGCCGCGAGCCCCTGGCGGGCCCCGGGCGCCGCGAGGGCCCCAGCTACTGGGAGGTCGGCGTCCACGGCGCGCAGAACTGGCGCGTGGGGGTCGCGCGCGGGGACTCGCCGCGGCGGGGCGCCGGCGCCGACGTCTGCCTGGGCGCCAATGCGCTCTCCTGGTGCCTGGCGCTCACCGAGGGCGAGCTCTCGGCCTGGCACGACAACCGGCAGACGCTGCTCCCGCCGCCGGCGGCGGCGACGCCGGCCGAGGACGCGCGCCGGGCCGGCGACGCGGCGGCGCTCGCCGTGGCCGATGCCGGCTGCCGCGGGACGTGGGACCTGCGAGCGCACGTGTGGGAGCGCGGCGCCGGCGCCGGGAAGGGGAAAGGGGCGGCCGATCTCTCGCCGCCGGCCGCCGCGCCGGCTCCGGCGCCGGCGGCGACGTCGGGGCTGCGGCGCGTGGGCGTGCTGTTGGACCCGGCAGACGCCCGGCTGGCGTTCTACGACGCGGAGCGCGGCGCCGAGCTGCACTCGTTCCGCGTGGCCGGGGACCGCGAGGGCCGCGAGGGCCCCGAAGGCCGAATGTACGCTGCCGCCGGCCTGTGGGACGTGGGCTCCTGCCTCACGCTCTACGTGCCGCTCCGAGAATCCAAATGACGGTCGTCACCCAGCTCCCCCCCCCCCACCCCTCCTCCCGCCTGACCTGGGCCCCGTCGTCAACGAGCCCCCCCTCGCTGGGCTGGCACGTCTGCTGAGGACACGGAGTACCGCCGGTTAGCACGGTTGGCTACGTACGGCGCGAAATAAGTTCAGCATACTTACGTAGACACAGAGTGGCGGGGTCAGTTCAGGCGCGTACGTAGGCGTTTGGTGGATTGTTGCCCTTCGCCGGACCGCGAGAGATGGGGGCTGCTTGATGAGTTGAGGCCTTCGCCCGGTGGGGGGTGGTCCTGCTGCATTGACATCATCGCTAGAGACTTGACAACCACTGCTGAGGTCTTGTTGACGCATAGTTACGCATGCTCTTCGTGTGCGTATAGTTTGTCGTCCTTCCGCCGCATCTCCGATTTGCATGGTTGGCTACGTACGGTGCGAAAGAAGCACAACGTACGTACACACACTGCCGTCGTCCAATCAGGACCGTGTCGTCTCAAAGAGACTCTGTGTCGCCTTACAAGAACTCTCTCTGTTGTCTAATTAACCCCTTTCCCGTTACGATAACTTCATCGGTACCGAGGCTTCCCACAAGGCCATGTGGGAGGGCAGGGGCGCAACTATGGGCGGGGGGGGTGGTATGTGGTGGCGTTATGCGATACAAAGGGGGCCCAGTCGGTTCACAAGGGAATGCCCAAATCAATAGATAAACACAAATACAAACATACAAAGAAATTTTATCTTAAAAAATTCATTCAAATTTAGCTGTGGCGTACTATGGACCAAGCCCGGTGGTTAACGCATCCTGGCTATGATATTAATAGAGCGGCATAGAGTTGCGCGATCTACCGATGGGACTGGCATGAACGCAAGATGCACAATAACTTAATTGTGAGTATTGTTACCTTTACATATTTTATTAATACTGGCACTGCGAGACTGTCTACTTCTAAACCCAATACTAATATATAAATATAGCCTACATATTATAGTATACGGGGGTTAAAAACCATCCGTAACTATTTCAGTAAAAAGTGAGTCGGGAGAAAGGAGGGGGGCCCACAGTCGGATCTTGCACAGCCCCCCCCCCCCGTTTAAATAGCCCATTGTGCCCCCATGGGAGGGCGCGCGTGGCACGGTTTTGGCACCGGTTATTGTAGCGTGGCGGCGGTCGTGTCACCAGTGCCGGATTAAGTTAGTGCGGGGCCTGTAGCAAATGTTATGAAGGGGCCCTAAATACCAAAAAAACATAAATGTTGAAATATTTTTTTTTTACTTGTGTAGTGCCGTGAATTCACTCGGACAACAACCGTCTTCCACCGTCACTTTTATTCCATCGTTCCGTACACACACACACTATATAATTTCACACACACACACTATATAATTTCACACACACACACTATATAATTTCACACACACACACTATATATATAATTCTCCTCTTCGCTCTCCGCCAACTCGGACACTCCGATTCACCTCAGCATCGTCCGCGCAACCTCTTCCACACACAGTGGTTCTTCCTCTATCTCCTCACACACAGTGTCGCCGCTATCTCTTCACACGCAGTGACTTCCCTTATCTCCGCACACACAGTGACCTGTCTGTCTATTCACACACAGTGACTCTATCTATCTCCGCACACACAGTGACTCTATCAATCTATTCACACACAGTGACTCTATCTAGCTATTCACACACAGTGACTCTATCTATCTATTCACACACAGTGACTCCATCTATCTCCGCACACACAGTGACTCTATCTATCTCCGCTAACGCTAACTCTCCCTATCGCTATTCACTGTCTTTTGGGTTCGGCTCTCTATCTATTCTTCCCTAACATTGCCAGCTGTCCTCTTCGTATCTCTCCACCTCTCGCCAACAACTGCCCAACAACAACTCCAACTCTCCGTTCAAATCACCTAGCGTTTTATCCCCTTTCCAATTAGCCTTAATTAATTGCCACGTGGCTCTCTGGCATTTTCCCGCCAGCTCGCACTTGTCCCACGGTCAGACTTCGAGACTCCGCCACTTAACGCTAACAGCCTCTCGACCAATCACAGCCCTCGTGCCACGACTCCCTTAATTACTTCGGGTTGTTTACGCCACCGGTGACTCGCCCACCTGTTCGACCTCATGTGACCCACTCTCCTTGTATGTCTGTATGTACTGTATGTGGCCAATTCCTATGCGTATCGTTTACTCCACTACACTTGCATAGTAAAGTAATTCTACTTTTTCATTTGCTATACAGCTAGATAATACGACAAATCGCTAACCTTAAACACCCAGTCGTTCATACAAGTTGAAGGCGGTATTGTACTATAGTAACAGAGCAAGTGCAGAATCACTGAATCGGAATTGATAGCTTGAAAGCATTTAGCGCAGGGCCCTTGAAAGTGCGGGGCCCGCAACATATGTAGCTACTTTTGCGACTGTGATAATCCGGCGTGGAGAGTCAACCAGAATGCAGCAGCAAAACCGTTGCCGCGTGCGTCTGTCTTAAGAGCCTGCACGTCTGTAGCCCGCATGCCCAGCCACCGCATGCCAGAGCAGCTTGTGTGGGGCCGGAGAAGAGATGGAGCTGATGGCGGTACAGGAGCATGTGGAGTTAAGTGGACTTGCCGATGACCGGTACCAGCGGTGGTGTCAAGATCGGCCTCTGGGGAGGATGAGGCTCAAGTATTAAAGCTTTCGTGACTGCATAAAATTACTCATTGGTTTTTTCGGTAAAGTCGCGTATGTAGAAATACAATAAAATTATATTAAAACAAAAAACAATCACGACGTTTCGATCACAACGCAAGCGATCTTCATCAGGTGTCGAGAACAAATCACGGAGGTAAATACAACAAAAAGATGAGAGACGAGAATTCAACAAACCTGAAAAGACATTATGTGAAGCACATCCAGTCAGGCCAACAACACAGACACTTCCTGGCGGACCACGAATTTCAGAAGAGTGTTAAATTTCGTGTTCAACCTTTGGATTGCACATACCAGCATAGATAGAATGAAAAATACGAGGTACACGGTCAGTGGAAATACATATACAAGTCCACCAAGAGGTAAGGAGGGAGGAAAGACGGACATGGACGCAGAGAGAGAGAGAGGGGGGGGGGAGAGATGAACAGAAGCTTAAATAGGAAATACGGTTGTAGGGGGGGAGGGGCCAGAGCGAGAGCGGCAGCTCAAACACGCACATCTTACACATACAAGACAGCAGCTCAATAAAGTACCACCTCTTGTAAATACAAAACGGCAGCTCAAAAAATGACCACCTCTTGTAAATACAAAACGGCAGCTCAAAAAAGGGCACATCTTACACATAATTACAATGGTAACTTCCCCATAGAAGTGTGATAATAAAGTATTAAAGCTTTCGTAACTGCATAAAATTACTCATTGGTTTTGTCGGTAAAGTCACGTATGTAGAAATACAATAAAATGATTTAAAAACAAAAAAAAAACAATCACGACGTTTCGATCACAACGCAAGCGATCTTCATCAGGTATCAGGAACAAATCACGGAGGTAAATACAGCAAAAAGATGAGAGACGAGAATTCAACAAATCTGAAAAAACATGTGAAGCACATCTAGTCAGGCCAACAACACAGTTAGACACTTCCTGGCAGACCACGAATTTCAGAAGAGTGTTAAATTTCGTGTTCAACCTTTGGATTGCACATACCAGCATAGATAGAATGAAAAATACGAGGTGCACGGTCAGCAGAAATACATATAGAAGTCCACCAAGAGGTAAGGAGGGAGGAAAGACGGACAGGGATGCAGAGAGAGGAGGGGGGGCCGGAGAGATGAACAGAAGCTTAAATCGGAAATACGGTTGGAGGAGGGGAGGGGCCAGAGCGAGAGCGGCAGCTAAAAAACACATCTTACACGTACAAAACGGCAGCTCAAAAAAGTACCACCTCTTGTAAATACAAAACGGCAGCTCAAAAAAGGACACATCTTACACATAATTACAACGGTAACTTCCCCGTAGAAGTGTGGTAATAAAGTATTAAAGCTTTCGTGACTGCATAAAATTACTCATTGGTTTTTTCGGTAAAATCACGTATGTAGAAATACAATAAAATTATATTCAAACAAAAACAATCACGACAGGGAAGTTACCGTTGTAATTACGTGTAAGATGTGCCCTTTTTTGAGCTGCCGTTTTGTATTTACAAGAGGCGGTAATTTTTTGAGCTGCCGTTTTGTATTTACAAGAGGTGGTACTTATTTGAGCTGCCGTTTAGTATGTGTAAGATGTGCGTGTTTTTTAGCTGCCGCTCTCACTCTGGCCCCTCCCCCCCTCCAACCGTATTTCCTATTCAAGCTTCTGTTCATCCCTCCGCCCCCCCCCTCTCTCTCTGCCTCCCTGTCCGTCTTTCCTCCCTCCTTACCTCTTGGTGGACTTGTATATGTATTTCTACTGACCGTGTACCTCGTATTTTTCATTCTATCTATGCTGGTATGTGCAATCCAAAGGTTGAACACGAAATTTAACACTCTTCTGAAATTCGTGGTCCGCCAGGAAGTGTCTGTGTTGTTGGCCTGACTGGATGTGCTTCACATAATGTTTTTTCAGGTTTGTTGAATTCTCGTCTCTCATCTTTTTGTTGTATTTACCTCCGTGATTTGTTCTTGACACCTGATGAAGATCGCTTGCGTTGTGATCGAAACGTCGTGATTGTTTTTTGTTTTAACATAATTTTATTGTACTTCTACATACGTGACTTTACCGAAAAAAAAACAATGAGTAGAATGAGGCTCGTGAAGGACGCAACTATGCAGCTGGAGACAAATGCCCTCTGAGAACAGTGGAGGGCAGAGGAGCGACGCTCACAACAATGAGCTTTGAACTTCTTTCGCGCAGTACGTAGCCGACTGTACTGATCGGAGGTGCCGAGGCTGCCTCTTCATAGGCGCTTGCACCAACAGTCTGCTAAGGCTATATGGGGAGGGGGGGGGGGTGGGTAAGGTTGTCTTAGCGTGTTAGTGCGCGTGGGGAGCGGTGGTGTAGCGGTTAGTGCGCTGCACTACGAACTTGGCGACCCGAGTTCGATTCCCGCTCACGGCCAAAATCAGTGACGATTATCTGAACCGGTCCTGGCTTTCCCTTAGGTCGACTCAGCCTCAAATGAGTACCTGGTGCGGCGTGTAAACATCATCACTGCGGAGAGACAAAGGCGGCTGGGCCACCCCCTCTCTTACCTATACTGCCTCTTGTCACAACAGCCCTCTTGCCCACTTGAGCAAATGTTTCTTGCAGTGGTTGTCACACCTGATGACGGACGCTTGTGTTGCGCCCGAAACGTCGTGATTTAATTTATTTTATACTTATGTGACTTTACCGAAAGAACCAAAGAGTATAGAAAAAGCTCGCTATGTTATTGGCTTTCCCGTTAAAGTAATATAACGTTAACACATTCCTGCGGAGGGAGCTGGTAGGAACGTTGGGTTGCTCGGTCAATGGCCAGGGTCAACGGCGGCACCACCACGTGGTGTATTCCGCAAATATGCCCGACTGTGAGGGCGGGCACAAGCCGGCGTGAATAGGTTAAACGTTGAGTTTTGTAAGGGCACCACGGGGTGACCAGCCCCTCCCCACCCAGCCCCTCCCCACCCTCCTCACCCAGCCCCACCCTCCTCACCCAGTCCCTCCCTCCCCACCCCTCTCCATCCAGCCCCACCCCTCACATTTTTGGATGCACGACGGACGGACACAATAATCCCCTGTGGGCTGGTGGTGTAACCAGGAGGTTCCTACCAGTATTATCTACCAACTGCTTCCGGAAGACAACTTCGGGAGTAAGAATCACTGTGGAAGATCTTGACTTAAAGCTTTCGTGACTGCAGGAATTCATATTCTTTGGGTCTCTCGGTAAAGCCACGTAGATAAAAAAAAAAAATCACAACGTTTCGATCGCAACACAAGCCATCGTCATCAGGTGAAAAAATATTACTATTTGTTTGCGATCGAAACGTGATATTTTATTATTATTTTCTATCTACGTGGCTCTGGAAGATCTTCAAGTACCAGAAGTTATCTTCCGCAAGATGTCTAAAGGGTACTCTTTGGTTCTTTCGGTAAAGTCACATAGAAAGAAAATAAATTAAATAATAGAGTACGATTATGAGACCTCCTTTGCCAGTAACAAGATATAGGAATAGGTTTTACCTTTTAACTGGCACAGTTAAAAGGGTAAAACCTATTCCTAAACAGAGTACGATGTTTTGATTGCAACACAAGCAACCGCCATCAGGTATCACTAAACTTTAGAGAGACAAAACACAGACACGGAGACACACAGAGAAAGACAACTCAGACACACACAACATAGAGACACAACACAGAGTTTCAGTTTTTTTTTCAGTTTCATTTATTAGGTACTAGTTTTACTACCCGGCTTCGCCCGGGACTTGGATTCACCTTTGTCTCCCCAGTGGCGATGTTTACACACCACACCAGTTACTCGTTTGAGGCTGAGTCGACCTAGGGGAGGCCCAGGACCGGTTAAAATAATCGTCACCGGTGGTGGCCATGAGCGGGAATCGAACTCGGGACGCCGGGTTTATAGCGCAGCGCGCTAACCACTACACCACAATGCGTTACGCTTCCACGTGCGCGGGTCACGTGACAGATTTGACGTCACAGCTCACTTGCCGTGCGAAAAATAAATGCATTATTGAGCTCCCCCCCCCCCCCCAAAAAAAGTGTTTTTAAAAATATTTTTGCATTGCGTAGTCTGGAAAGTACCCAGTTTGTTGCATGTCGGGAAGTACGCTAAACATATGAACAGCACACACATCCACAACTTTGCCTTTTATATATATGGAGATAGCCCTGTGAGCCATTAGGCTCTTGAATCGGGTGCGACCGCAACAAACAAAACACAGAAACATGAACGAGAAAACATCTTAAAGTGACTATGCACAAACAGAAAATCCAGGAAAAAACAGCAAAAAAAGAGAGATAGACAACACAGACAGAGAGACACACAACATAGACACACAGAGAGAGAGACAAAACATAGACACACAGAGACACACAACATAGACACACAGCATAGACACACAACATAGACACACAGAGAGACACACAACATAGACACACAGAGAGAGACACATAACATAGACACACAGAGAGAGACACACAACATAGACACACAGAGAGAGAGACACACACATAGACACAGAGAGAGAGACACACAACATAGACACACAGAGAGACTCACACAACATAGACACAGAGAGAGAGACACACAACATAGACACACAGAGAGAGACACACAGAGAGAGACACACACATAGACACAGAGAGAGAGACACAACATAGACACACAGAGACACACAACATAGACACACAGAGTGAGACACACAACATAGACACACAGAGAGACACATAGAGACACACAACATAGACACAGAGAGAGAGACACACAACATAGACACACAGAGACAGACACACAACATAGACACACAGAAAGAGACACACAACATAGACACAACATAGACACACAACATAGACACACAACATAGACACACAATATAGACACACAGAGAGAGACACACAACATAGACACACAGAGACTCAATGCCTCTGTGTCGAGGTCTTAAATAGAGAGACGGGGGGGGGGGCAGACAGAGAGGTGGGTCTGCTGACGTAACACTTCTTCCGGAAGATTTCTACCTCTCACAGAAGATATCTTCCGGAAGACCTTTACGTCTAGAGCAGTGGTTCTTAACCTGGGTTCGATCGAACCCCAGGGGTTCGGTGAGTCGATCTCAGGGGTTCGGCAGAGCCCCCGCCACGGAGGTCCGGACACACTTGAATTATTGTGTAAATTTGTGATGACACACACGGCCCGCTTGGCCATCACTGGCTGCAGATGATCATGCTACACTGCTTGGCCAATCAGCGCTGCGGGGAATTTAGTGCGTACTCAGTAGTCAACGTGTGACTGTTGTTGTCGTACGTCGTGTGATTTCTTTAATATTTTATCCATACTAACTATGTCGGGCAAAAGAAGAAAGTGGTCGGACGAATATGTAGAACATGGATTCTCATGTATCACGGAACGTGATGGGAGTGAGCGTCCTATCTGCATGATTTGCAACGCCAAGTTGAGCAACTCTAGTCTTGCACCGGCAAAACTAAAGGAACACTTCTTGAAGCTGCATGGAGACGGGGAATACAAGAACACAACACTTGCTGAATTCAGGGTGTAGAGAGCCAGATTCGATGAAAGGGCCACTCTGCCTGCTCTTGGATTTGTACCTGTTAACAAACCGATCCTGACAGCATCGTACGAAGTTGCTTACCTGATCGCAAAGCAGGGCAAGCCACACACCATTGGTGAAACACTTGTGAAACCAGCTGCATTAAAGATGGCGAATCTGATACTCGGAACAGCGGCCGAAGGTAAATTATCCCAAATTCCCCTTTCAAATTACACCGTCAGTGACAGAATAGAAGACATGAGTAAAGACATCTTGGCTCAAGTAGTCGCGGATCTGATTTCAAGCCCGGCAAAATTCAGCCTTCAACTCGACGAAACCACAGACGTTTCTGATCTAAGCCAGCTTGCTGTTTTTGTACGCTATGTGAAAGACGACATGATAAAAGAAGAGTTTTTATTTTGTAAGCCTCTTACAACAACAACGAAGGCAGCCGATGTGAAGAAGCATGTGGATGACTTCTTCAGAGACAACAATCTTTCATGGGATATGGTTTCTGCAGTTTGTACGGACGGAGCTCCAGTCATGCTGGGAAGAAAGTCTGGTTTTGGTGCGCTAGTAAAGGCCGATGCACCACACATCATTGTGACGCATTGTATTCTGCACAGGCATGCGTTGGCAACAAAAACCTTACCTCCAAAAATGGCAGAAGTATTAAAAACTGTGGTGGAATGTGTGAACTATGTGCGAAAAAGTGCTCTGAGGCACCGCATCTTCAGTGAGCTGTGTAAAGAAATGGGCTCTGAATTTGAGGTACTTCTGCTCCATTCTAATATTCGGTGGTTATCCCGGGGACAGGTGCTGAATCGTGTTTTTGCCATGCGTGTGGAATTAGCCCTGTTTTTGCAAGAGCACCAACACTGCCATGCAGATTGCTTCAAAAATCCTGAGTTCATTCTCATTTTAGCGTACATGGCTGATATATTCGCAGCTCTCAATCATCTCAATCAGCAGATGCAGGGTGGTGGAGTCAATATCATGGAAGCGGAAGAACACCTGAAGGCTTTTCAAAAAGAGCTACCGTTATGGAAACGACGAACAGAGAACAATAACTTCGCAAACTTCCCGCTTCTGGACGACTGTGCAAGTAAGATCGAAGATGTGTCTGGAATCGGAGATATTTCTGTATCCACGGAACTGAAGCAAACAATTGCCACGCACTTAGATGAGCTTGCAAAGTCTCTCGACGGATATTTCCCTACAAGAGAGTCATATCCAGCATGGGTGAGACAGCCGTTCACGTTTGCTGTTGAAACAGCAGATGTCAATGATGAATTCCTCGACGAAATCATTGAAATTCAGCAGAGCCAGGTTCAACAGCAACTCTTCAGAACAACAACGCTCTCAACGTTTTGGTGTCGACAAATGAACAAGTATCCAGTTATTGCTAAGAAAGCCCTGGATTTTTTTTATACCATTTGTTACAACATATCTTTGTGAGCAATCCTTTTTGAGGATGCTGGACATAAAAACGAAGAAAAGGAACAGACTTTGCTGTGAAAATGACATGAGAGTGGCACTTGCCAAGGTGAAGCCACGCATATCTGAACTGATCTCTCAAAGGCAACAGCAGAAGTCACATTGATTTCCAGGTATGTAATTTGTTGTGAGTTTATGCATTGTGTTGGTTTTATTCTTTGAACAAGGTAATGTTCATGCACGGCTCATTTTGTGTACCAGTAAAAAACATATCTATGTCTTGAATTTGAAAAAAATCACATTTTATTTTTCACTAAAGAGGGGTTCGGTGAATGCGCATATGAAACTGGTGGGGTTCGGTACCTCCAACAAGGTTAAGAACCACTGGTCTAGAGGATATTCAAGTTCCAGAAGATAACTTCCGGAAGACGGCTACCGCTCGAAGAACTTCAAGGTCTGGAAGGCTTTCCGGTTCCTTCCGGAACCGGAAGGCATCTTCCGGTTCCGGAAGGTATCTTCCGGTTCCGGAAGTTATCTTCCGGTTCCGGAAGAAAGCTTCCGGGTCCGGAAGAAGTCTTCCGGGTCCGGAAGAAGTATTCCGGGTCCGGAAGAAGTCTTCCGGGTCCGGAAGAAGTCTTCCGGGTCCGGAAGAAGTCTTCCGGGTCCGGAAAGAGTCTTCCGGGTCCGGAAGAATTCTTCCGGGTCCGGAAGAAGTATTCCGGGTCCGGAAGAAGTCTTCCGGGTCCGGAAGAAGTCTTCCGGGTCCGGACGCAGTCTTCCGGGTCCGGAAGAAGTATTCCGGGTCCGGAAAGAGTCTTCCGGGTCCGGAAGGCATCTTCCGGTTCTAGAAGTTCCCTTCCGGTTCCGGAAGACGTCTTCCGGAAGAGGCGTACAAGGGGCCCTTCTGGAAAGAGCCCCGAGGCGAAGATGGCGGCCCCCAGTGCGCGGCCCGCGGGCGCGTCTCGTTCGGATAAAAAGTCTTCCTCCGCGGGAGAGAAAATCGTGGCCGGCTTCAACAAACTGCGCGGCGAGCAGCGCGCCCTGGCCGCCAAGAGCGCGCAGCTCGACATGGAGCTCACCGAGCACAAGTGAGAGGAGAAGGAGGAGGAGGAGGATGACGAGCGGCGGGCGGGAGGAGTGGGGAGGGGCGGGAAGGCGCCAGGCGAGCCGCGGGCCTGCTAGGCCGCACCGCTGTTACTACTCGCGGAGACGGCGGGCGAGCGGGGGTGAATGTTACTCACACTATAATAGCGATACGTGGCTTGTCACGGAACAATAGTCACGCATTATTTTGGGGTGGGCTCGACCTGCCTCATGGCAGAGACACGAAGTGCATGTTCGAAACCACCTCGACTCAACTGCCCAGTCATTCAGTTTAGGGTGGAGGTGGATGGCGGAGGGCAACATCCCCCTTTCAGTCCTGGTTGTCCTGCTGGGACGTGCACAGGTTACCATAACGCATAGCGCAAGCGGGCGGCAATGCAGACGCTGACTTAAGACGAACGATCGCGTCCCCCCCGCCCATCAACGACGTCTCATCGTCGCGATTCGTGGGGAAAGATTGCTCCCTCGGTGTGCTCACATTTCGTCATTTTTTTATTTCACCCTCGTCTGTCTTGTAGTGCCAATGCGCTTCAGTTAAGTTAATGCACAACTTTCTGGCACGAGTCTTCTTATTTAAGACGTAGGAGCCTCAGCCAGGACCCGACACAGCCAGTGAGTAAAGGTTTGTCACGTAAACAAAACGTTCCAAACTTGATTTGTAGCTTTCCTGACTGCAGGAATTACCTCTTGGTTCTTTCGGTAAAGTCACTGTAGAAAGAAAATAAATTAAATAATAGAATACGACGTTTCGATTGCAACACAAGCAATCGTCATCAGGTACGAATGAATGATACAAAAAAACCTAGTAATCTTAGAAATATAATGCAACGCAGAGTCGGCTTACATAACAGTCAACACCCTACCTGGTTAATTACGTCCTTCCAAAGATTACTGAATTTTAGAGAGAGACCAAACACATACACCGAAACACATAGACAGACACATAAGCATAGAGAGACAACACAGAGACACACACATAGGCACACATAGAAATAACGCCTATGTGTCGAGGCTTTAAATAGAGAGGGGGGGGGGTAGAGAAATTAGCATGTCAATGAGAGATTTCGAGCTGCAGGAATTACTAGAGAGACAACACAGAGAGAGAGAGAAAACAAACTTTGTCAAATTTGCTAAATTTACTAGTGCAGCACATCAGTGTGTTGGAGAGCAAACCCACAATTACCACTTGAGTACGAAGTTTTGCAAGTAATTGCAACTAGCATCATCAGGTGACATCCAGAGTTGTGCTAGATTTAACGACACAGTTGTATTTACGCGATCCCACCCAAAATAAATTATGAACCAGTCTCTTATGTCGTCAATCCCAGGTGCTCAACTCTGGGGAATACGGCGGCGTTTTCCGACGCATAGGGGACCCAGTCAGCCACAAGGAGGAGGGTCCCGAATCAACATATAAACAAGTAACATGTTTAGAAAAAAACTATTGAACAAAATATTCCATCAATTAACCGTGATTGCCAAAAAAACCACAAATGATAAAGTAATATTTCCGAAAAATGCAAACAGCGTCAAATCTAGCAGCGGTACTGCTGGTGTTTGTAACTGAACACCAGGATTTTTTTTGCAATCTGACATGCGCATGGAAAGCAAGACGCATGATAACTTTGTGAGTATTTCATATTCTTTGGTTCTTTCGGTAAAGTCTTGTAGATAGAAAAAATAAAAGTAAATAAAATTAAAACTACGGCGTTTCAGGCACGTCACAAGCGGTCGTCATCAGGATCTTTTTCTATCTACGTGACTTTACCGAAAGAAACAAAAGAATATGAATTCCTGCAGTCACGAAAGTTTTAAGTCAAAATTTGTGAGTATTGCTACCTTTACATCTTTTTAATGTTGTCACTGTCTTTCTCTAAACTAGGCCTCGGCAAGGTAAGGTAAAAGGTAAAAACAACGAGCCTACCTTTACCCTACCTTTTACCTTACCAATATACAAGCACTCTACCTACCCTACCTTTTACCCTTCAGCAGGTAAGGTAAAAGGTTAAAAGCAACGAGCCTACCTTTACCCGACCTTTTACCCTTACCCCATACAAATTACCCGATTACAGGGTAATTACTGGGGTACTACTACACATGCAGGTAAACGCTAGGTAGAGCGCTTTATTCATATAGAATACTCTCAATGATTCAAATTTTAACTCTGTCGTATCAAATCTTGTAACTCAATTTTTACTCACTTCCCAATGTGGTATCGACTTCAAACTTGGTATACGTCTGTCATACTGATGACAATACTATAAACATTATTTTTTATACGTTATGTTTCGGCTTGGGTCGAACTGTCCACGGTCAACTGACGTTGGCTCTAATTGGCCACGGCCCCTTACGTTGTGGCAAGCTTCGGGGCCACTTCCTGGAGTCGTGGAGTTCTGCTATTACTAGTAGGGTACATTTCATAACGGCGTGTTTTCAAAAAAGATTTTTTTAAATATTACTTATTAAATGGAGGCCACGGACTGCGCCACAGCTTTTAGCGGTAAACAAGGCACCGTATTTACCGGGTAATACTTCGCGCTACCTTTGCCCTACCGGGTAATTCTTCCGAGCTACCTTCACCCTACCCTTTACCTTACCCCTTTGCATGTCGACACCTTTTACCCTTTTACCCGGTAAAAAAAGGTAAATTACCTTACCTTGCTGAGGCCTACTCTAAACCCTAAAGACGGATGCAACTTATAAATAATATATCTAGTTATCGCCTACATATTGTATACAGGTTAAAAACCATCCGTAGCCATTTCAGTAAAAGTCAGTTGTGAGAAAGGAGTGGGGGGGCCCACAGTCGGATCTTGCATAGACCCCCCCCATTGTAATGGCTCGTTGCGCACCTGGTCAAGCCATTATTATGCGTCCGTCTGAAACAGTGTCTGATGATGAGCACCTAAAAGATGGGGATTAAATGCGTTATGCAAGCCCGATATTGGAATGAGTACATTAAACAAGTGGCGGTGGAGCAATGAGTAATTGAAATGCAATAAATTTACTAACACAGTGAATACGCGTTATTTATAAATGTGTCGTAACCCTCCACCACCCGACATGGCCAATCAGCAAAAAAGTGTCACGTTGACAAAAGACAAATAGTTCACTACTTTAGCCCACCGGTGTGTTGAAGCGTGAGTCATCGAAACGTCGTACTCTAAAATTGCCAATGTTGTGGAGGGTTGCGACACATTTATAAATAACGCGATCTAACCCAAAAAAACGTTATTATGAATAATATTTGTCGCGAAAGCCTACGTGTTAAACATTAATGGTATTTGTGTGCAGACAACTAATACAGTATTTCCATTTCTTGCTTCTTTCGCTCAACTCGCGTACATAGAAACCTATTTTTTTAAATAATCACCTTGGGAATATTACTATCTTTTTGTTTGTGAGCTGACAACTTATATTTCTAAATTTACTTGGTGAATATTAATGTATGATTGTGTCTAAGTCCTTGTGTGCATGCGAGTCCATGTGCATGTCTGCCACGATGTGTGTACGTCTGTGTGTGTATCAGTCAATGTCGGTGCGAGTCAATGTGTGTGTTTTTGAAGTCGATGTGTCTGTGTGTGGGTCGATGTTTGTGTGTGGGTCGATGTGTCTGTGTGTGTAAGTCGATATGTGTGTAAGTCGATGAGTGTGTGTGTGTAAGTCGATGAGTGTGTTTGTAAGTCGATATGTGTGTGTCAGTCGATGCGTGTGTTAGTCAATGTGTGTGCGTGGTGTGTGTAGACAACTAATACTGGTAGGAACCGTAGTGTACTGGAAGCCCAACCGGGATTAATTCACAGGAGGCAGGGGATTAATTGTGTATGTCTGTGGATGTCTGTCCACGTGTATCCGGACACCCGGATATATAACAAATGCGCTCCTAGTGGGCATTACTGGTAGGAAACGTAGTGGACTGGAAGTCCAACCGGGATTATCACAGGAGGCAGGGGATTAATTGTGTATGTCGGTGGATGTCTGTCCACGTGTACCCGGACACCTGGATAAAAGGGGAGGGGCTGGGGAGGGGAGGGAGGGGCTGGGTGGGGCTGGGTGGGGGGTGGGGCTGGGTGGGGGGTGGGAGGGGGGGGGGGGGGGGGGGGGTGGGGCTGGGTGGGGAGGGGCTGGTCACCCCGTGGTGCCCTTATAAAACTCAACGTTTAACCTACTCACGCCGGCTTGTGCCCGCCCTCACAGTCGGGCATATTTGCGGAATACACCACGTGGTGCCTCCGCCGTTGACCCTGGCCATTGACCGAGCAACCCAACGTTCCTACCAGCTCCCTCCGCAGGAATGTGTTATTTAAAAATTAAGTCGGTACATTTTTAAATAATAATGTGTGTCTAAGTCCATGTGTGCGTGTGACTCGATGTGCGTGTCTGCGTCGATGTGTGTGTTTAAGTCGATGTGTCTGTGTGTGTGAGTAAATGTTTGTGTGAGTCGATGTACGTGTGTGTGCAAGTCTATGTGTGTGTGTTGGTCGATGTGTGTAAGTCCATATATGTGTGTGTGTATGTCGATGTGTGTGTGTGTGCAAGTCGATGTGCGTGTGGATCGATGCATGTGTGTGTGTAAGCCCATGTGTTTGTGTGTGTGAGTCCATATGTGTGTGTGTACGTCAATGTGTGTGTGTATGGCTCCATGTGTGTAAGTCAATGTGTGTGTGTGTGTCGATGTGTTTGTGTAAGTCCAAGTGTGTGTGTCAGTCCATGCGTGTGTGTCGGTCTATGTGTGTGTGTGAGTCGCTGTGTGTGTACGTCAATATGTCTGCGTGTCAGTCGACCTGTGTGTGTGTGTGTGGCTCTATGTGCGTGTGTCAGTCGATGTGTATGTGTGTGTAAGTCGATGAGTGTGTGAATCGATGTGTGTAAGTCTATGTGTGTGTGTACGTCGATATGTGTGTGTAACTCCATGTCTGTGCAACTCAAGTCGATGTCTGTGTGAGTCCATATGTGTGTGTGTAGGTCTGTGTGTTTGTGTGTGTGGGTCAATGTCTGTAAGTGTGAATAAGTCGACATGTGTGTCTGTCTTTTTCGCCCGGGCAGCGCCGGGTACTTCCCGCTGTTTACTGATAAAATAGCCCGGTTCTTAGCGGCAACACACCAAGGTGAGATTTGGAACTATAAATAAAATACATTATCTATTAACATCGGCCAAAGAACAATAAATTAATTTGCATTGGCCACATGTCGCAAATGAGTACGCGTCTTAAGATCAAATAATTCTTAAATACGGTAACGTGCTAAGACTCAACTATCTGCAGTTGCAGAACACGCACGTCAGGAAGGGTACACAATTAAAATTGATAACGTTGAAGCGCCACGTAAAACGATTTAATTATTTCTGTTAAAGATTAATGAGCGACTCAGTCGAGGTTGAGAAAAAAACGAAATAACTTCATCTGAGTGGATAGCTATAAACTGAATGTGGCATGGACACGATTTATAAACAAATAATAATAATAACGTGATTGTATTATACAACACAATAACATTTAAATACATTCACAACGCGCTAACCTATGCTATCAACTTTTATGATAAAATCATGTTAACGCTTGACTATAATCACAATAGCATTAACATTCAGCCTTCATTACGAATAATTACACTTTAACAGAATGAAGGCTATCCTATATTCATTAATCGCAAAATATATTCACTTCATTTCACTGACCCAACCTGCCAGTCACAACCAATCTACTCGCTTTCAGCTAATTATATTATTAGATCGAGTGCAAATTATGTCATGGCATCTACACCAGCGGTCTCCAACCTTTATGGCACCAGGGACAGGTTTCATGGAATTCAATTTTTCACGGACCGGGGGGGGGGGGGGGGGCGGGTTCATCATTGGGTCTTTCCCCCTTTTCAAAGAAGCTATCCAGCGACGTTTGTTATTTATTCATGTTGGCTACTCGGGGTGAGCTTGTGTGCTTACCAACACTGTGACCGAGACGAGTGCGCAGTGCGGGAAAGAGGCGTGGGCGGAAGTGGTGAATAATAAAATAATGGAGGCGGGCCACGTGCGGAATCACCGCTCTCACCTCCTGCTGCTGTGCGGCCCGGTTCCTAACAGGCCACGGACCGGCACCGGTCCGCAGCCGGGGGGTTGGGGTACCCCTGGTCTACATGACCCGGATCAGGAAGCGCTTTCACTGATCTTAGGTCCTGTTAACAACCTGATGATCTTCTTTGGTTCTTTCGGTGAAGTCACGTAGAATGAGAATAAAATAATAAATTGATAAAATAAAATAACAATAATATTCTCACGACGTTTCGGCCACAACACAAGCGGCCTTCATCAGGTGAAGGGACGAGACTGTCTGCTAGGACAGCGCTGGAGTGAAAGAGCCACGTTCAGATCACGACCTTTAAGCTGTGTGAGAGGAAACAAAGCGCCTTGACAAAGGAATTAGCATATAATTTAGCATTGAAATGGCTGAGTGATTAGCTTGTGACTGGTCACAGAAATAGCTATGTTGGTTGTAATCTCGAGTGAAATTTCTGCACCCTTTTTTTTATGTAAGAGTATTCTCCCAACGCACCAGTGTGCTGAAGCAGTAGTAAAACATTTGGCAGGTTTGATTCCCGTGTTGGATGGGAAGGGGTTTTAGGACGCATTTTTACACGATCTAACCCATCAAAAACAATTATGAATCGGTGTGTTACACATGCGTTCTGCTGCTGAAGGGATAGAGGCGGCGGTTATTAGCCCGGTGTGTTACGCACACACGGGACTAATTGCTTGACTGCGTTGGGTTGATGTTGCCTCTGGGCCGTGTTAAAGGTTCGTAACACAGTGGACTTGCCAAACGCCGCCTCTGTCAGCCCAGCAGCTGAATAAACGCGTACACCGCAGTCGATGGTCGGCAGGTCGCAATTTGGTAGGGTGAAGTACGTATGTTGAGCTTCCTTCGCACCGTTTGTAGCCAGCCGTGCTAATCGTAGGTGCGGGGGAAGGACAGCAAACTAAACACAGCAACGAGCAGTTCCATACAAAGTGTAGGTACACACGGTCTGGCCCGGCGTAGCAGAGTAGACCAAGTAGCGTCTACCGGAGGGAGCTGTCTTGTGGCCTGCAGCAGTCTATACGACACCCATTCTATGCTCTCCCCAGGCTACGTCGACAGCTCTTCAGAGCTGCACTTTGCCCAGCAGTGGCACGAGCGAGCACTTTTCACAGCTGCAACATCGCTATTTGACTTGCAACCACAATTTTTTTGGGGTCGGAACTCCACTTCAGTGTTAAAATGTTGTGTTATACGTTCATCCTCCACCCGACAGAGCTTTGGAGGCATCTGCAGGCATTGCGCGTACGCTACTTTTAGAGCCATTATCATCATCCGCGAAATTTGCTATTCATGAGCATCTCCGGAACAACGTATCCCTCGCGGATAACGAGAGAAAGTCCGTACACACGCGGCATTGCAAATTTCACCTTGCTGTGTGAAAGAAGAAGCTCCTTAGCAGGGGCTCTTTTGGCCTACTCTTCCATGCAGGCCAAACACATTAACATGGATTCGTCCGCGCTCACGTGTGGTTGTGTTCGCTCTGGGCAGTGGTAGCGTAGTCCTGGGCCCTCCCCTAGGTCAACTCGGCCTCAAATAAGTACCTGGTGCGGTGTGCAAACATCGCCACGGGGGAGGTGTTGGCCACCCACCCCCTCGTGTGCCGTTCCGGTCTTCGTAGGTGCTCGCTAACAGCTCTAGATTTGAAGCTTTCGTGACTGCAAGGATCCATACCCTTTGGTTCTATTCGGTAAAGTCACGTAGGTAAAAAATAAAACCACAAAAATCACGACGTTGCGGCCACAACACAAGCGGCCTTCATGAGGTGAAGGGACCGGACTGTCCAGAGGACAGCGCTGTAGTGAAGACAGCCAAGCCCAGGTCGCGTCCTTTAAGCTGTGTGGGAGGAAAACAAAAAAAAAACGCCTTGACAAAGGAATTAGCATAACAATGATGTACTGGACCGGCACGGTGGGGGTGGAGGGGTGGGGGAAGTTTACATAATGTTGGTGTGAAGGGACATAAGCTGCTGTGAAAGTTTGGGATACCAGTCGCTAACAGCGTTCGCCCCAACAGTTTTTTGACGGCTCTGCGGGGAACCTTTGTCTCGTGTGCGCTGCAGCCTGGTGATCGACGCCCTGCGCGACGTGGACCCCGAGCGGCGCTGCTACCGCATGGTGGGGGGGGTGCTCGTGGAGCGCACCGTCAAGGAGGTGCTGCCCGCCCTGCAGAGCAACAAGGAGCAGGTGGGGATGGAGGGGTCTCCGCATCCCCCTGTGCGGCGTGTGGTGTCGTGTTGTGTGGTGTGTTGTGTTGTGGTGGTGTTGTGTGGTGTGGTGGTGTGTCGTGTGTTGTGTGGTGTGGTGTGGTGTTGTGTGGTGTCGTGTGGTGTGGTGTTGTGTTGTGTCGTGTGGTGTGGTGTGGTGGTGTTGTGTGGTGTGGTGGTGTTGTGTGGTGTTGTGTTGTGTGGTGTTGTGTTGTGTGGTGTTGTGTGGTGGTGTTGTGTGGTGTTGTGTGTTGTGTTGTGTGGTGTGGTGGTGTTGTGTTGTGTGGTGTGGTGGTGTTGTGTTGTGTGGTGTTGTGTGGTGTTGTGTGGTGTTGTGTGGTGGTGTTGTGTGGTGGTGTTGTGTGGTGTGGTGGTGTTGTGTGGTGTTGTGTGGTGTTGTGTGGTGTCGTGTGGTGTTGTGTGGTGTGGTGTCGTGTTGTGTGGTGTGGTGTTGTGTTGTGTCGTGTGGTGTTGTGTTGTGTCGTGTGGTGTTGTGTGGTGTTGTGTGGTGTTGTGGTGTGGTGTCGTGTTGTGTGGTGTTGTGTGGTGTTGTGTGGTGTGGTGTGTTGTGGTGTGGTGTTGTGTTGTGTCGTGTGGTGTGGTGTGGTGTTGTGTCGTGTGGTGTGGTGTGGTGTGGTGTTGTGTGGTGTTGTGTGGTGTGGTGTCGTGTGGTGTTGTGTGGTGTGGTGTGTTGTGGTGTGGTGTTGTGTCGTGTGGTGTGGTGTGGTGTCGTGTGGTGTGGTGTGGTGTAATGTGTGTGGTGTTGTGTAACGTGGTGTGGTGTTGTGTCGTGTGGTGTGGTGTTGTGTCGTGTGGTGTTGTGTTGTGTAATGTGGTGTGGTGTTGTGTTGTGTGGTGTTGTGTCGTGTTGTGTGGTGTCATGTGGTGTGGTGTGTTGTGTGGTGTCGTGTGGTGTGTTGTGTGGTGTTGTGTGGTGTGTTGTGTTGTGTCGTGTGGTGTCGTGTGGTGTCGTGTGGTGTGTGGTGTGGTGTTGTGTGGTGTGTTGTGTTGTGTCGTGTGGTGTGGTGTTGTGTGGTGTGGTGTCGTGTGGTGTGGTGTGGTGTCGTGTGGTGTTGTGTGGTGTTGTGTGGTGTGGTGTGGTGTTGTGTGGTGTGGTGTGGTGTCGTGTGGTGTGTGGTGTGGTGTTGTGTGGTGTGTTGTGTTGTGTCGTGTGGTGTGGTGTTGTGTGGTGTGGTGTCGTGTGGTGTGGTGTGGTGTGGTGTCGTGTGGTGTTGTGTGGTGTGGTGTGGTGTTGTGTCGTGTGGTGTTGTGTTGTGTCATGTGGTGTGACGTTGTGTTGTGTCGTGTGGTGTGTGGTGTGGTGTTGTGTGGTGTGGTGTCGTGTGGTGTGTTGTGTGGTGTCGTGTGGTGTGTTGTGTGGTGTGTTGTGTTGTGTCGTGTGGTGTGTGGTGTTGTGTGGTGTGGTGTCGTGTGGTGTGGTGTGGTGTCGTTTGGTGTGTTGTGTGGTGTTGTGTGGTGTGGTGTCGTGTGGTGTGTTGTGTGGTGTGGTGTGGTGTCGTGTTGTGTGGTGTTGTGTTGTGTGGTGTTTTGTCGCGTAGTGTGGTGTGGTGTGTGATGCCGTGTGTCATGTTGTGCCGTGTGTTTTGTCACTTGTTGTATCGTGCCGTGTTGCGTGTTTTATCGTGTTGTGCCGTGCGTCGTATCCTGTTATGTCACGTGTTGTATGTCTTGTGTCGTGTTGTGTCCTTTTGCATGTTGTACCATGTCACGTATCGTGTGTCTTGTTGTGTGTTGTATTGTGTCGTGTGTCTTGTGTGTTGTATTGTGTCATGTGTCATGTTGTGTGTTGCATTGTGTCATGTGTCATGTTGTGTGTTGTATTGTGTCATGTGTCATGTTGTGTGTTGTATTGTGTCATGTGTCTTGTTGTGTGTTGTATTGTGTCATGTGTCTTGTTGTGTGTTGTATTGTGTCATGTGTCTTGTTGTGTGTTGTATTGTGTCATGTGTCTTGTGTGTTGTATTGTTTCATGTGTCTTGTTGTGTGTTGTGTCATGTGTCTTGTTGTGTGTTGTATTGTGTCATGTGTCTTGTTGTGTGTTGTATTGTGTCATGTCTCTTGTTGTGTGTTGTATTGTGTCATGTGTCTTGTTGTGTGTTGTGTCATGTGTCTTGTTGTGTGTTGTATTGTGTCATGTGTCATGTTGTGTGTTGTATTGTGTCATGTGTCATGTTGTGTGTTGTATTGTGTCATGTGTCATGTTGTGTGTTGTATTGTGTCATGTGTCTTGTTGTGTGTTGTATTGTGTCATGTGTCATGTTGCGTGTTGTATTGTGTCATGTGTCATGTTGTGTGTTGTATTGTGTCATGTGTCATGTTGCGTGTTGTATTGTGTCATGTGTCTTGTTGCGTGTTGTATTGTGTCGTGTGTCTTGTTGCGTGTTGTATTGTGTCGTGTGTCTTGTTGTGTGTTGTATTGTGTCGTGTGTCTTGTTGTGTGTTGTATTGTGTCATGTGTCATGTTGTGTGTTGTATTGTGTCATGTTGTGTGTTGTATTGTGTCGTGTGTCTTGTTGTGTGTTGTATTGTGTCGTGTGTCTTGTTGTGTGTTGTATTGTGTCATGTGTCTTGTTGTGTGTTGTATTGTGTCATGTGTCTTGTTGTGTGTTGTATTGTGTCATGTGTCTTGTTGTGTATTGTGTCATGTGTCTTGTTGCGTGTTGTATTGTGTCATGTGTCATGTTGTGTGTTGTATTGTGTCATGTGTCTTGTTGTGTATTGTGTCGTGTGTCTTGTTGTGTGTTGTATTGTGTCATGTGTCTTGTTGTGTGTTGTATTGTGTCATGTGTCTTGTTGTGTGTTGTATTGTGTCATGTGTCTTGTTGTGTATTGTGTCATGTGTCTTGTTGCGTGTTGTATTGTGTCATGTGTCATGTTGCGTGTTGTATTGTGTCATGTGTCATGTTGTGTGTTGTATTGTGTCATGTGTCTTGTTGTGTGTTGTATTGTGTCATGTGTCTTGTTGTGTGTTGTATTGTGTCATGTGTCTTGTTGTGTGTTGTATTGTGTCATGTGTCATGTTGCGTGTTGTATTGTGTCATGTGTCTTGTTGTGTGTTGTATTGTGTCATGTGTCATGTTGCGTGTTGTATTGTGTCATGTGTCATGTTGCGTGTTGTATTGTGTCATGTGTCATGTTGCGTGTTGTATTGTGTCATGTGTCTTGTTGCGTGTTGTATTGTGTCATGTGTCATGTTGTGTGTTGTATTGTGTCATGTGTCTTGTTGTGTATTGTGTCATGTGTCTTGTTGCGTGTTGTATTGTGTCATGTGTCATGTGTGTTGTATTGTGTCATGTGTCTTGTTGCGTGTTGTATTGTGTCATGTGTCTTGTTGTGTGTTGTATTGTGTCATGTGTCTTGTTGCATGTTGTATTGTGTCATGTGTGTTGTATTGTGTCATGTGTGTTGTATTGTGTCATGTGTCATGTTGTGTGTTGTATTGTGTCATGTGTCTTGTTGTGTGTTGTATTGTGTCATGTGTCTTGTTGCGTGTTGTATTGTGTCATGTGTGTTGTATTGTGTCATGTGTCATGTTGTGTGTTGTATTGTGTCATGTGTGTTGTATTGTGTCATGTTGCGTGTTGTATTGTGTCATGTGTCATGTTGTGTTGTATTGTGTCATGTGTCATGTTGTGTGTTGTATTGTGTCATGTGTGTTGTATTGTGTCATGCGTGTTGTATTGTGTCATGTGTGTTGTATTGTGTGTTGTATTGTGTCATGTGTCATGTTGTGTTGTATTGTGTCATGTGTCATGTTGTGTGTTGTATTGTGTCATGTGTGTTGTATTGTGTCATGTGTCATGTTGTGTTGTATTGTGTCATGTGTCATGTTGTGTGTTGTATTGTGTCATGTGTGTTGTATTGTGTCATGTTGCGTGTTGTATCGTGTCATGTGTGTTGTATTGTGTGTTGTATTGTGTCATGTGTCATGTTGTGTTGTATTGTGTCATGTGTCATGTTGCGTGTTGTATTGTGTCATGTGTGTTGTATTGTGTCATGTGTCTTGTTGCGTGTTGTATTGTGTCATGTGTCATGTGTGTTGTATTGTGTCATGTGTCATGTAGTGTGTTGTATTGTGTCATGTGTCATGTGTGTTGTATTGTGTCATGTGTCATGTTGTGTGTTGTATTGTGTCATGTGTGTTGTATTGTGTCATGTGTGTTGTATTGTGTCATGTTGCGTGTTGTATCGTGCCCCCTGTCGCACCACGCCACCTACCGTAACCGTACCGCCGATATCCCCGCGGTCCCCGCCCCCCCCCCCCCCCCCCCGCCAGATCTCGCGGCTGCTGGAGGCGCTGGCCCAGCAGGTGTCGGCCAAGGGGCGCGAGATCAACGAGTATCGCGAGAAGCACAACATCCGCGTGCGTGGCGAGGCCGACCCTGTACCCCTCGCCGCCGTCGCCGCCGTCGCCGCCACCGGCACCGGCGACGGCGGCGACGGCGACGGCGACGGCCAGATCCCCGCCAAGCCCGGCGCCGCCGGCGTGCTGGTGTCCGAGACCGGGTAGGAGAAAGCCGCGGCGGCAACGGGCGCCACCGATGGGAGAGCGGGGGTGGGTGGGTGGTGGCGGCGGCGTGGGGCTGCGGCGATGGGCAAATGTGTTGGAGCGTGGACGTGTGGACAGGCGTGGCACGTTTGTCTGTGTGTGTCTGTGTGTGTCTGTGTGTGTCTGTGTGTGTCTGTGTGTGTCTGTGTGTGTCTGTGTGTGTCTGTGTGTGCGTGTGTGGAACTTCTCTCGCGCCGTTACACGGCCAACGGCGCCAATCGGAGGTGCGGGGGGAAGGACGGCGAATGGAACGCATCAACAAGCCGGTCCTCAACACGGATCCACCAGCGCGCGCCGGACGAGTGCACAGCGTGGCACGGAAGCTGCCCGTCGCTGCACACGTCCAGCGCCACACAGCACCACCCTCGTACACCGCGCCGCCGCTCTAAACACCCAACAGTCACGCAGCGTTACGCAATTCCACACGCTCTGCCACGCAGGCACCCCCGCACCATTCAACGTAGCGCTGCACCGCGCTGCGGAACCGTTCACGTCGCGGCAAAACACTCGCTTGCGCTGTGTACGGCACAAGCGTGCAGACGTCCAGCGCGTGGGCGCCGGACCGCGCGCAGCACGGCACGCTTGACCCCACGGAGCGGCAACGCCGCTGCGCTGCTGGTGCGCCCGCCGCCACGGCACGGCGCGTGAGAACACGCGCAACCCCGCTGTGGATGGGCCCGGTCCCCCCCGCCATGCGAGCGTGTCATTTCTTACCGATGGTCACGCAACCCTTGCGACGAACGAGTTGAGCGCCCCTGTGCGTGTGTGTGTGTGAATGTTTGCGTTTTTTTTTTAATGTAAGTTAATGTCGGCGTGTGATTTCCCCCCCACCCCCCCCCCCACCCCCTCCCAAATGCATGGGTTTTCTCCGGGCACTCCAGTTTACTCCCCTCCGAATGTCCGAATGCAGTGAGACTCGTACCACCAAAGAGCCTCGAGGCTTGCGCGAGGGTTTGCCTGGGTGTTATGAGAGAATTATATTCGCTTGGGGCACGATGGTCGTCGATTCCCCGCTCACGGCCAACACCACCCAGTAACGTATATCCGAGCCGGTCCTAGGCCTCCCCGAGGTCGACTCGGCCTCGAATGAGTAACCTGGTGCGGTGTCGTAAACACTGGGGGAGACAAAGGCGGCCGGGCGTGGTGCTGGCCACCCACCGCCTCGTGTGCCGTGCCGGCCTTCACGGGTGCTCCTCTCTCCCAACGGCACTTGCCCCAACAGTCTGTTGAGGCTGTACGGGGGGGGGGGGGGGGGGGCGGGAGTCTTTGTGCGTGCGTCGGTCCGCAGCCGCCGCTCCATGCGCAGCGACGCGGTGTAAACTGTAATCTCACCTCCCCCGTCACTCAGAGCGGCGTGGGTCGTCTTAAGCCAGGGCCGCGGGACAGCTACGGCCTTCATTCCCCTGTGGCCCCTCGGCGCCATTTCGCACGCGTCCCGATCACTTCCATACGGGCGCGCAGGTGACGGTGCTCCGTCGCCGCATCGCGGCCTCGCTCGCCGGGTGCTGGAGAGGGGGAACGACACGCGGGCGCGCCTGACGCAGCTCTGCATTTCTCGTATCCCAAGCTCTCGAGGCAATCTTGCGTCGCCGCGAGTATCTTTTCTTTTTGTTGCGGTGCCGCGAAATCCCCGAGGTGCGCTGCGTGTTAACGCCTGGTTTGCGCCAGTAATAGTTCCCCGGTGAAACCACGTTCACCAGAGCGCAGGGCTTCAGAGACACCGGTCCTCTCGGGCCCCCCAGCCTATGTACAAATACACACACACACACATACCGATCGTCAGCTACCGAGTGGTGGGATGCCGTGGTGAGAGAGCACGGCTCGCTTGTTGGAAAGTTCAGAGTCAAAATCCCGGCCAGTGGACAATTGGAATTTGAATCCCTCCGGTGTAAAAATTAAGTTTGGCTTTCTAAAAATTCAACGGTGGACTGTTCACGACTGAGTGCACACCCACCCCAACCCCACCATTTGAATGTGGAGTTTGCCACCACAGTCTGAGAGATAAGCACCTTACCACTCATTTAAGCGGGCAACCACTTTAGCATCACCACCCGTGATGCGACATGACTCTGGACTGGCTGCCGTACATCAAGGAGCCTGGTAAAAGTGTGGAACGTTGGGCCAACGGTTCCAATCGCAGCGTTGGCTCGGCGTTGCGTATTTTTCCTGGGGGGGGGGGAGGAGTGGAGGATGGGTGATCGGTTGCAGCGTGGGCTGCAGTGGGGGATGGGAGCTTTGGATATCCTGCACCAGATGAAGCTGCCAGGCTGCTGCTCTTGCTGTAGGTGTCGATGCAAGAGTCTGAACGAATAAACGGCAATGGTTTGTTGATATTGTGTAAGCTTTCAGTGTTGTGCTTGTCGCATGTGATCATGATGTCAACTTACAGTGCACTGCCGCACAGTACTCAATCGCAGAGAGAGAGAATTACTCGAGGGCGCGAAGAGGAACCGTAGACAAGCCAGGTGGTGAGCCAACGCCAGGAATTGCCCAAGCCCTGTGGTCCTCTACATGTCAAGGTGTTCATTGGCCAGTTAACCCTTTCCCGTTCCTGTCTGCAAGCTGCAGGGTGTGTTCGGTCGTCCCGTTCACCGCCGAATCTTGGAACGCGCGAGCGTCTCTGCATTCATTTTATTTCGAGAGGCGTCGTAGCGGCGCCGTACGCTCCATAGAGAACCGCCACGGCCGCCGCCACTAAGATAGCCGGCGCCGCTGCAGCAGGTCCACCTAGGGCAAGACTTTCAACGGCGTTGGCTGTGAGTGGGAATCAAACTGGCTGCCAGAATTCCGTAGCGTTGCACGCTTACCACCGTGCCAACAATTGCCCACGCTCCAACAATTCATCAGACTAGTTATGAAAGAAAGGGTAGCGCCGTTTAGAATATCCCTCGCAACCTGCTTGGTGAACAGATCTAGCTCCTCCGTGCAGCCCTTCGGCATAAACACATTCCTGCGGAGGGGGCTGGTAGGAACGTTGGGTTGCTCGGTCAGTGGCCAGGGTCAACGGTGGCACCACCACGTGGTGTACTCCGCAAATATGCCCGACTGTGAGGGCGGGCACAAGCCGGCGTGAGTAGGTTAAACGTTGAGTTTTGTAAGGGCACCACGGGGTGACCAGCCCCTCCCCACCCAGCCCCTCCCTACCCTCCCCTCTCCACCCAGCCCCTCCCCTCCCCACCCAGCCCCTCCCTACCCAGCCCCTCCCTACCCTCCCCTCTCCACCCAGCCCCACCCCTCCCACGTGAACAGACATCCACAGACATACACAATCCCCTGCCTCCTGTGAATTAATCCCGGTTGGGCTTTTAATATAGCACAGCATTGCTACCGAATATGGGTGAGAGAAAACTACTTTTGCAACACACCGCAAGATACTAATTTCCAATCCGGCTGTCTCGCCCTTTGTTATGTAATCCCCGCTGTCCGCCAGATCTCTCGGAACTATCCCTTGAACTCCTCGCTCCAAATTGCTGCTGCGCCCTTTCTCCCCCGCCTCCGCCGGGACGTCGTCTCCGTGCCCTGCTCTGTATCACACTCTGAGCTCGCCTCTCGAACCCTACTCATGTCCTCTCCGCTAACCCCACCTTTCTAGATACCTTCCCACAACTCGAACCGACTTTCCTCCCCACGCGTCCAAGGTGGGTGACTCCTCTGTCCTCGCCTTGCCACCTTCCCCCAGCTCTGCTCCGACTCTTTGTCCTCTGTGGGGACTTCCAACTTTTTTTTCTGCCCACCGCAACACTCCAATCCACCACGTCCCTCGCCATCCTCACCCGGTTTTTCTCTGCACCGATGACTGGGGACCGCACTCAGCCGCGTCCCAACAACGCATGGAGGGAGAAGGGTGTGGATATTTCACCCAGAGGACTGCACCAAATTGCGAATGTGGTGAGATGCAAACCACCATGCATATATATCAACGATGGCTACCCAGTGCACCGCGTGTATTCTGGTGGAACAAGTGGACTCCACTCATCTTCCACCCCGGACGCTGCTTTGGAGTAGCTTACACACAAATAACACAGCTGTCAAGCCATACGGTTTACCCGTATTTTTGTACAGGGAAATTGAGTTTTCAGGTCCATACGGCAAAACATTTGTTTTGGCTATTTGTGTTTCTCCCTTGTGGTTGGACTTTGTAGGATGAACGTTGGGATTTATAAGGGCACGGGGGGTGACCAATAAGATCTGAATTGGGCTGTAATAAGGTAGGCATTGATATGGGGTTAACAGGTATTAAATAAAACAAATGTAGCCACGTACAATGCAGCCTGGTCGTTTTTAACAATTGATTAAATCGCTTATACACATAGAATATACACTGAAACAACATGACCCACGTCTGCACGTGCTCCCCAAAACAAATGGAGGAGACACTGCAACATCGCGATCCCGTGCCACTGGGCGAGCTCTCCGTTGAGGTTTCAGCCTCGACTCACTTCACCGGCCACAGCGAACCGACGTGCCCTTCGGAGCACTCCCAATAATAACCTTGAGATTTAACAGGTTTTACCCTTTCTGATAATACAACAGGATGTCAAATCTTGACTTAAAGCTTTCGTGACTGCAGGAATTGATCCTTTGGGTTTTTTGATAAAGTCACGTAGATAGGTTCAAAGAAAATAAAAAAAACTACGACCTTTCAATCACAATGCAAGCATTCATCATCGGGAAGAGGGGGTGAGCTTCTAAAGGAAAACTGTTTATAAAGGTTTGAAATGGGCGTAGCCCAAATGTCAGCAGCCAATGAGAATGTGAGTGGTTGGCAGCGACCGCGATGGTGGTGGGTTTGCCCACCAATCAAAGGGCTGCCCAGTAAAATTAGCATAATGTAAGATCGTTCAGCGGCCTCCACAGCGGTCGCCCTGAGGTGGCGATGTTTAATGTGAGAGATTAGCATGTTAATGCGGGATCGCAAAGCAAAAAAACCTCGAGCTGGTCCTACCAAGTGAGCTGAGTTCAGTAGAGCTGAGGTGGCCTTACGAGTGAATGGTTGTAAGGTCTCAGAAATCGGGCCAGTTTGTAGGTGGGTGAGTCAATGGTGGAGACGATCGGACGAAGGGATGTACCCTCTATGGACTTTTGGTAAGCCATACAATCTGAGTGGTCTAGCAGCAGAGGGTTTTAAGGAAAACCGCTTGGTTGGTTCAATTAATGATGTCGAATCCGTGATGATCTTGTTTTTGGTAACGAGGTGGTTGGTGGGATCTCTTTAAATTTTTGTATAGCTATCATTAAGTAGGTCCTGAATTTTATAATTGTATGTGGTTTTGTCCATGATGACAGTGGCATTGCCCTTGTCGGCTGAGAGGATGACTGTCATACTCTTTGGTTCGTTTGGTAAAGTCACGTAGTTAGAAATAAAATAAAACAAATCACGACGTTTCGATGGCAACGCAAGCAATCTTCATCAGGTGGGAAAACCACAGCAAGAAAAAAATTGCTCAAGTGGGCGAGAGAGCTGCCGTGGGAAGAGGATATATAGGTAAGACGGGGGGAGGAGCAAGGGGGGAAAGAGAGAGGGGGTGGGGTAGGGGTAGGGGGCGCTGCGTGAGCGCTAGGGGGAGAGAGGACGTGAGGCTGGTGGGGGGATGCTGGGTATGCGGGGGAAATTCACTCGGAAAAATAGACTAGTACCCGGCAGATATGATGGAAACAACCATAAACAGTTAAGGTTTTACCGAGTTAATAACATCCTTGTAATGATTGCTCAATTTGTATCCATCTTCTCGGTTGAAGTTATGTCTATTTTATATATCTGGATGGCTTCATGAACAAACCTTTGATAGTAACCCGAAGGTTTTCAGAGTACCTTGGTCTCGGAAAAAAACAATATCATGTGAGCCCAAAGCGTTATAACAATGGTCAGCCACGGCAGAGGTATTGGTTCTGCCATGTTTCAGATCTGCCTTGTGTTCGCGAACACGGTCCGAGACATGTCGTTTCGTTTCCTCAATGTAACTGCTACCGAAGGTACAACTCAGTTTGTAGACTCCAGGTTATTGCATGTCAGGAATGATCTCCTTCACAGATGGGATTAGATCACGGATTTTGTGTACTTTATTGAATCGGACCTGGATCTTGTATTTCTTTAAGATTTTGGAAATCTTGTTGGTAACATCTGCTATGTATGGAAACGTAATGGTTTTTATCGGCTTCTCAGGGGGTTGTTTCTCTATGGTTGGAGAAACAGTTTTGCGTATAATGCGGTCCGAGTATCCATTCATCTTGAGGGCCTGGTGTACGTGCTCCAGTTCACTGGCTAGGTGGTGTTGGTTGGAAATGCAGTGGGCCCTATAGTGTAGTGTTTTGATGAGGGAATTCTTCTTTGCCGGATGGTGGTGGGAATCAGGTTTCAGATAGGCTTTCCTGTAGACAGTGTCCCAACGAGCCATCAGGTCTCTTCTCAAACAAAACATCCAGGTATGGTAGCTTACCATCCTTCTCCACTTTCATGGTGAATTTTATGGATGGGTGTATGGAATTGATGTGGTTGAGAAATTGATTCAATGCTGGCAGGCCATGTGGCCAAATGACGAAAGTGTCATCTGCATATCTCTTCCACAAGGAAGGACGTAGGGTGGATGTCTGGATGGCATCTGTTTCAGATTTCTCCATGAAAACATTCGCTATCACTGGTGATAAGGGGGAACCCATGGGGGTACCCTCATTTTGTTTGTAGAAAGTACCATTCCAGGTGAAGTAAGTGTTGGTAAGGCAGTGTCTAACCAGAGTAGGTACATCAGAATTCAGTCCATGTTGGACTAAGTCTTCAATTGTTGCTAAGGTGTCAGGTACAGGAACCTTGGTGAACAGAGAAACTACATCAAAGCTGACAAGCAATGATATAGGGACAGTGAAATGCCCTTGATTAGAGAGACCAAGTGAGCTGAGTTATGTACTGCTGAGGTAGTCTTGCCCGTGAATGAAAGCAAGGTATCAGACAGAAAACGGGCCAGTTTGTAGGTAGGTGAGTTAATAGTGGAAACGATGGCCCAAAGTGGAGTACCTTCTTTATGGATTTTGAAAAACCATAGAATCTTGGTGGTCTAGTAGCAGAAGGTTTTAGGGAGAGCCGTTTGAATGGTTGGATTAGAGAAGTCGAACTGGTAATGATATTCATAATAAAGGTTTTTGGGTTAGATCGCGGTATTTATAAATGTGTCGTAACCCTCCACCACCCGACACGGCCAATCAGCAAAAAAAGTGTCACGTTGACAAAAGACAAATAATTCACTACTTTAGCCCACCGGTGTGTTGAAGAGTGAATCCACATTTACAGTTTGAGTACGACGTTTCGCTAGTAAATACATCCAGCATCAACGGGCAATTCGCC